TTTTTTTTAATGTTTATTTATTTTTGAAAGAGCACGCGCGAGAGAAAGCATGTGCACGAGTGGGGGAGGGACAGAGAGAGAGGGGACAGAGGATCCGACGTGCTGACAGCTCTGACAGCAGAGAGCCCTATGCGGGGCCCGAACTCACGAACTGCGGGATCATGACCTGAGCTGAAGTTGGATGCTCAACCAACTGAGCCACCCAGGCTCCCCAGTATTCCCATTTTCAAGACAAGAACTGAAGCCTGGCCATGATACGAGCCTTGCTCCAGATCTCATAGCTGGTGGAACTGGGATTTGAGCCCACGTGTCTTGATTCTTTCCTTATTCCACTCTTTTTGCGCTACCTGTTTTTCTTTTTATTATTTTTTTAAAGTAATCTCTGCACCCAGTGTGGGACTCGAACTCACTACCTGAGATCAAGAATCTGATGCTCTACTGACTGAGCCAGCCAAGTGTCCCATGTAGGACCTGTTTAACGTATTATTAACCAGATGTTGAAATTCTGTATAATGAAAGATGCCAAATTTTGAATCATTATATCTATAAATCATATTAGGTGCCTTTGTATCTAAAGGACTTGGAAATAATGGAAAATTTCAGAAACTTAAGTTGAATAGAATCTAGGTAGTTGTTCAATTGATAGCTATCATTCCTGGCAAACTAGGAAATCAGAGAAATACCCTCTTGACTCTCAAGAGAACAAGAGAAGAATGTGAAGAGGCATAATTTTCCTACTGAAACTGTGGAATAAGCCAAACGTACATATTTCCACTGGGGTTAGAGGATGGCAATGACTTTTGTTTCTGAAATTTCACTTACGGTTTTTTTCTTCTCAAGTTCCAGCTCCATTTCCTTCTTTTCTTGTTCACGAATTTTCTTGCGCTGTTCTACATATTCCAGATGCTTGACTTCTCTTTCAAAGTAGTAGCTCATACTTGATGCCTGTTAGAAGCACAGGCCCGTGAGAGGGGAGCCCGCATGGAAGTCCCCATATTCTTCACAGGCCTCTAGAAGAATTCCTGCTACTTTTAATTCATTAGGTGGCTTGCCTGCTTTGGGATACTGCCCATAGGCCCATTGCCAGAAGAGCGAGCTCAATGTGGGGGCTACTGTGCTTAGGTTCAGGGCCCTGCAAATCGGAGGATTCCATGAAAGGAATGGGGTGAGAAAGAGAGAGCAACAAAAAATTACTATTTTGTAAAAGAAATACTCAGGGATTGATCTTTTCCCTTTTCTTGCTTCTCACTTCTAAACCTGAGGAAAGGTTCATATCATCAACCAAACTTGGAAAACCCAGATGAGGTTATCAGTATAAACCCTAAAGGGACTGGAAGCAGAGCTGAGTTCCTGGTCCCCTGGAGGACTTATTGTGTGCACATTAAGAACAGAAGCAGCAAAGTCAGGAAAGAGACCTTGGGCAAGGAGGCCAAGGGAGGGAAACTTTCTGCTTGCCAGGAACTAGGCTGATGTTGGGACTTGTAATGGATTGCAATCTCTATATTTAATGTTGGCTGTATATATATTTATGTATTTCTATTCTCTGATTTTCTTTTTATCTCCCAGTATTAACATTACTTGAAACCTTTGGGTGGTGCCTATAGAGGGGTAGAAGACTGCCCCCTCAGCCATGCTGCCTGCAGTACAACAATTTGGGGGGAGATGGGGTAGAGGTGGATGATGGAGAGATGTATCAAAATGTTAACTGGGCCTCCAGGAAGGGCATCACTAAAATAGGAGTCCTGTGCTTCAGTTACAACCTGAAAATGATATCTTATGAATCCCCAAATCAATTCTTTGCTTTAAAAATGTTTTTAGGGGTGCCTGGGTGGCGCAGTCGGTTAAGCGTCCGACTTCAGCTCAGGTCACAATCTCGCGGTCCGTGAGTTCGAGCCCCGCGTCGGGCTCTGGGCTGATGGCTCAGAGCCTGGAGCCTGCTTCCGATTCTGTGTCTCCCTCTCTCTCTGCCCCTCCCCCGTTCATGCTCTGTCTCTCTCTGTCTCAAAAATAAATAAACGTTAAAAAAATTAAAAAAAAATGTTTTTAATGTTTTTATTTATGAGAGAGAGAGAGAGAGAGAGAGAGAGAGAGAGAGAGCAAGGGAACATGATCAGGGGAGGAGCAGAAAGAGAGAGAGAGCCAGAGGATCTGAAGCGGGTTCTGTGCTGACAGCAGAGAGCCCACTGTGGGGCTCAAACTCACGAACTATGAGATCGTGACCTGAGCTGAAGTCAGACGCTTAACTGACTGAACCACCCAGGTGCCCCAAATCAATTCTTTTCTGAATCTGGGCTTCATTTACTTGCCTTCTCTTTCAGCACATTTGTTTTTTTGTGGTTCCAAGCTATGTAATTCATACAACAGAAATACATCCCCTTATTTTGGATTGTACGCTTCTTTTGTTTTCTCACAGAGTAAAAATGCTGTCATTTCTAAACATTTCTAAAACATGCCTCAGCAATATCTGGTCACATAAATCCTCAGAGCCAAAAGTTACTAACCTCATTGGTGGAAGGGTGACTTAATGTCCAAGGAATTTCCAATATATGCAGTGTTCCATAATAATCAGCTATGGCTATAAATTGCTGCTTAGCTGAAAGATCCAGAAAATGGGGGAGAAAACAACTCAGCAGTCAGAAATCCATACTGGAGGTTAAACGGGAAATGTGTTTTGGTGTTGTGGTCTTCCAAATGACCTGCTGTGGTTACAGTAATCTTGGCATCTTCATCAGACATTCATGACTGAGGACCATATTAACGTATAAAAATCATCTTTTCCAGTTGATGAAATGAAAGTGGAGACCCTGAGCCTTTGTCAGCCACCCTGCCCACTTCAAATCTTGTCTTCTTGGTGCTTATGTAAGGAGTGTGGCTCCTCACTGAGGTTGACCCTCTGTGTGGCTGGGCCACTGGGCAGACTTGAGAAGTGGAGATAACACAGGGAAAGATTTTCCAAGAAAAATCATGAAGCCAATTTTCACCAAAGACTCAGTAAGGGCTAAAGGATACCACTATAAACACAAGGAATGTTTTCAAGAATTTTAATTTTCTATCTTATCATGTTTTTTTTTTTCTTTTTCTCATTCTCAGAAGGTTTGGTTTAAATTGTTAAATCCTAGACTCATAATCCCTGGATATGTACAAAAGCAATGTTTTGTAGCAAAGATGAAAAAAAAAATACTCTGATGGCACATATGACTAAGCAATAGCTGGACTGTGACATTCTAGAAATTTTGAAGACTGAATTTCTAAATGTAATATTTCAAAGAGAGAAATGGGTGGAAGGACAATTTTATGCCTGTACACCTTTGGAAACAAAGGGAAACTTTTATTTTTTTATTTTAGAGAAAGAGAGAGCATGCTAGTGGTTGTGAGGGGCAGAGGGATAGAGAGAGAGAACCCCAAGCAGGCTCCATACTCAGTGTGGAGCCTGATGCTGGGCTCTTTCCCATGATCCTGGGATCATGACCTGAGCCAAAATCAAGAGTTGGACACTCAGATGACTGAGCCACCCAGGTGCCCTGAAACTTCTTTTAAAAGTGGCAAATATACCGGGTTTACATAGAAAGTAGTGCTTGGGTAAAACAAAGAAATTAGGACAAAGGATATCAATTCCAGCTTTCCAAGGAAACATCCTCGAAATTCTGCTTGCTTTGTTATACATGTTTTTTCCTCATAATTAGTTTAAAGGTTAAAGTTTAAATAGATAAATGACCCCAGAGAGTCATTTGATCTCATGAAAAGAATTGCTTGATATTGTCTAGGGAAAAGCCCCCAAAATTATAAAATATTGAAAATTTATGGCATAATGAAAAAATAAAGATACAAGAATGATTCCATTTGGGAAAAAAAGCAGCAAAAGGTAGCAAAGATTTATGGATCATCCTGTCTGACCTGGAGAAGATAAGGATGCTCTTCATTATGTGGTTCAAAATCAGCCTCTGCTTGTCATACTAAATATGCCTCAGAAATAATCATTGATGAAGAAAACAATGAGAGAAACTCAGGTTGTATCCAAAGTTTGAGTGCAAGAGGAAAGGGGAAGGAAGGGAGGAGAAAGGATGGGGTGGGATGGACAGAAAAACAAAAACCTGAGAAAAAAAGATCGGAGACTTTCCAGATGAATGTCAAAATGTTCCTGAGTTACCCCCCAAGAAACAAAATAACTTAGGCCATTTAATCAGAATTAACATACCAGTAAAAGTCCAGGGTTTGATGTAGGTGATCATGGTTATGCAGATGTTTTGTGACTGGGCTGGCTCATGGGTTTTCTCCAGAAGGTCCCAGATATCGATGTATCCATCTTCTCGGCCAATATAGAAGACTCCAGGCCTTGTCAGGGACCAGTGGCCTGCTGTGTACCTTTTTGGTGCACAGCATGACTGAAGGAGGGGTCCAGTCTTTAAACAAATTTTTAAAAAGACACATGAAAGCTTTTGTTATTACCTAATGTGTATTCATAATGATTTCCTTTAAGTACACTCAGATGGCTATGATCATGGAATAGCAGAAATTATGCCCACTCAGAACTCTCATTTCTTTTTCTTGTAGGGTTTTACATAATACCAACTCTTTTCCTTCCTGTGTATTTTTTGATGATTTTTTTTTTCTTATTTGAGTTGCTTTTTTAGAAAAGATCAAACCTTCCAGTCGAGCCGGAGATTGGTGGATATTAGATAAATAAAGGTTATAAGGAAATTTTGCTTATGCCTTTATTTTGCTGTTGGGTGTCTGTTTCCCATGGAAACAACTTTGGCAGGCAGAAAAAGAGCAAACAGAAAGTCAGTTCCAGCTGTGCGCTGCATCCAATGCCTTATAAATCCTATTTGGAAAAGACTTTAGACCAGCAAAGCATTACAAGATCATCTTCTCTTTTCTTTACCATGGACAATTTGTCCTCTTTGGGGGGGTTTCATACAGAGAAAAAATCAGAATGTGCTTTCTTCCCACTGTCTGGCTCCACTTGGCGATTAAGTGTACCCATTTACCTCCTTCTATCTGAAGAGACTAAACTAAACCGTGGGGCTGTTTCCTCCCGTCCAAGACATGTATAAGAAACTTTCTTGTGGAGAATGAAGAGTGTTTCAGATTCATGGACTCCTTAGAGGTGACACTCCAATTCTGTTCTTGCCCACCTTGCCCAGCTCCTTCCATTTCTGTGGGTAACCAGTTCCTGACCCCTGAATAGTCTATGGACAATCTTGCCTAAATTTTCTTTTTCTTTAATTACAAAACTGATACTTTTTCACTGTAAAAAAAAAAATTGAACATATGGAAGTACATTGGTATAAAGTAGAAGTCCTTTTGTGGATGGTTGCTTTAAGTAGTTTACAATTATTTCAACGACAAACTGATACATATGTTCACACAGTTATTTGTGTAAGTTAGAGTTTGAGAAGTGAAAGAGTTAAGTCAAAGAATATGTATATGTATATTTTATCACTTTATTTAAAGAATATATATACTCTTGGGGCTCCTGGGTGGCTCAGTCGGTTAAGCATCCAACTTCAGCTCAGATCATGATCTC